TTTACCATAGGCTGAGGAGCATTGCCTTGTTGGTACATTATCCATGGAACTCCAATATTATAAGATTCTGCCATTGAAGCACACCAATCTATATACACCTTTCCAGCATCTCTATAAGGATCCATAACATTCCCATACTCATTCTCGATCTATTAATGAGAGAGAAAAAATCAACTGAATAAATTAAATGTGTCCGTTAATTGCATAGTTTTTTCTAAAGAAAAAAGGTAATCCATGAACTACTATATATACACTGGGCAGTAATTAGTAATTATGGACCAACTTGAGAAGCAAGAAGTTTCTCTTCAGTAATCTTATTTATGATCAATGTAGTGAAATTTTGCATCTCATTCTGTAAAAGCAAATAAAAACAAAATAAACAACATATATACTATATAAAGAATAAGAAAAGCTTAATTTAAATAATTAACTTACCATGAACACATTATTTGCTGTCCTCATCTCAATACCAGGCAAATTATGCAACCACACAGGAAAATCCCTAAAAATTAAGTAACATTCCGTTAAAAAAATGATTGTGAATTATAGTAACATATATTAGAAAAAAGGAAGCTAATTAATTAAGAAATAAATAAATAAATAAATAATGAAACATACCCGTAGTTCCATTCAGCAAAAACATAAGGACCAATACGGAGAATAGAATAGAGTCCAGCCTCATGAATGGTCTTTAGAAATCTGATGAGATCATTATTCCCAGAAAAATCATACTGACGACGAACTGGTTTATGAGCATTCCAAAACACATAAGTCTCTATCGTATTAAGTCCTCCTTCTTTTGCTTTTTGAATCAAATCAAGCCACATCTACAACATCATTATGTATAAACAAACTCATTGTGAGCAATAATAGTACTAATTAAATATTAAATATTTTCGTTAAATCAGAAATATAAAAAAAGGCCAAAAGAATGAGCAGAATTATGAGTAGAAGAAAGATACATGTTTTCTTGTGGTGTGCTTCTGGGATAATGAATTGAACTAGAAATAACAATTCGACGTTGGCCATCGATGATAATGGCTCTTCCGTCGTGAGAGACATTTACAGAAACAGCAACCAGAAAGAGACTCAGAATATATATGGAATTCAAAGTAGGTCAAGACCAATATATATATATATATATATAGGGTTAACAAGCAAATTTGACAATAAAGTTTTCCCAAAAGAGCACCATACACCATAATGTTTAGTAGGGGGCACGAATGTGCTTGAAGTTGGCAACTGGAAGCAAAATGACCACTTCCGTTACAGCATGTAAATGTCTATTAGCTAAGTTTTGGTGGGTCCCAGAAATGCTCCATGTGACCGTTTGAAAAAGCAGAGCAAATTCATCCTCCATTAAAGAAGTGACCAACTTCCTCTACTTCCATTAAAGACACAAGTCACCTCCTCTGCTCCATCAAAGACTCGATCTGCTCTCACTTCGACTTTTGGTCTTCTGTCTGGTGCTCTATCCCACAAATCTCCTCTTCTCACTTCCAGTCGAGACCCATCTGGACTTGCTCTACTACAATTAAACGAAGTAGGTCCTTGTTGCAAATGGCATCATCATCATTGTCAACAATGGGAAGATTCAGAAGGAGGGTGTGTTTGCTAAAACAACCCAATCATAAGGATGATTATGATGGGCCAAGGAAGTATTGCCACCACAGGATGGTGGCACCTCGATGGATGGTGTGGATGAAAGGCAACCTGGGGAGGAGGTTTTATGGTTGTCGTTACTATGACCAAGTAAGCAGTAAATTAATAGAAGTTGATTTTGACTTTGGATTTAAGTTGTAATGGTTGAGGTCTCCATTGACAGGATGGTGGGTGTCAGTCCTTCTCTTGGCATGATAGTGATTTTAGTGAGAGGGCTAATACTGTGATTAAAGAGCTACTGGATAATATTGATAAACTCTATGATGAGAATAGCATGCTGCGATGAGGAAATGATGGGTAAAGGTTGTTGGACGAGTTCGCTTCAGTGCAAATACAAATGAGAGAGTTGCAGAGTAGGCATCAAATAAAAGACGGTCAACTTAGAAAGGTGTAGAGGAAGTTCAAAATGGCAATGGCATGCCTATTAATTACATAGGTGTGGTTGTTGTTGGTTCTGTAATGTAAGAGAGTAATGAAGAGTGTGAATGAAGTAGTAGGTTGAATAGTTTGGTTTATGTAATGTCATGTAATTGATATTATTAGTTGATAATATTTTGATTTATGTAATTTAATGAAGTCGAAGTTATTAATCAATTTTTTTGAATTTAATAGTTGGAATATTTTGAAAAAGTTGAATGAGTAAAATATGAATGACATGTCACAAAAGCTAAATGGCAATGAAATTGAACGACCATCACATATATCATGGTAGATACATAATGCATAAAAAGGGAGATTTGGCAAGGAAGAGGGGAAACGTGGGAAAGGCAAACCTCATAAATGTGGAAGAAAGTATCCATCAACTATTCAGCATTTCATCACCAAATGGTTTGAATCTCATGCCTATTAATTACAAATGCTCCCAAAAGATGGCCTATTTAGGATTCACAATGGTCCGTGCCAACGTAAGACAAAATGCTACACAATGGCCATTGACAAAAGACAAAATATTCAACACCAAATAACTTAACAACCTATATACTATGTTTGCTTAAGGTAGCCCTGGTGTTTTTTCGTGTCTGTGCTTGGAGTTGGGTTGTTGTAATAGCTGCCTTGCCCTTCCATTGCAACCCAAGTGGTTTGAATCGGAGTGTTGGTGGTTGTGCAATTGCAGTGCCTTAATCATTCAATTTAATCCTACTCTCATTATCTTGTGCTCTATTTGTTGCTGCCCTTGTCACTCTCATTTGCTTTTCATTTGGTATGGGGAACTTAACTTGGGGGTTTATATTATAAGCCATAGGCCGTGGACTTCCTTCATTAATGACCACTTGGGAAGGCATACCAGGCTACAACAAAACCAACAACAAAAATAGTTATTTTGTGGACAAATTTATTAAATAAGAAAGGTGATAGTGAACCAGCATTGTATATAGTTCTGCTTGTGTGTTCATCGATTATTATTCCCATGCCACATGGAGTTCTAGGCTTGTTAGCACATGTCCTTCTTGGTGACTGTTTTGTTCGTCCAGAAGGCTTGCAAGTTTGATGGGAAGGTGGAGATTGGTGTTCCTGGAGCTGTGATGGTTGAGTTTCTTGTGTTTGTGAAGGTTATGTCACCTGAGGCTGCTGTGATGGTTAACTCAAGTCTGGTTGCTGAGATGATTGCCCTAAATGTGCGTCGTGTGTCCTCTTTGTTCTTTTTGGCCGAGAATCACATGAAGGAGGTGCCTACACCATATATAATAAAAGGTATTAGCAAAAGCTACAAATTTTGGCATGTTGGCATGGGATTTCAGTTAAATCTCATACTCTACATGTGCACATCTGCTTATTAAAATAAACAATATGCCTATCCTGACCCTCACTGACCTCATAACCTTGATCACCATTAAAACTAATTCTACAAGTTGCAATTATAAACCTGTTGGCCTCAAATAACTCTAAGCACTTTGGGCTATAGTCTCCCTTCCAAGTACTAACAATGCGTGTACTATCAGCCCATTTCTCTATCATCTTCAGTCTAATTCTATCAAACATCCTAATTACTGGAAGGAACCTATACTCATGTATCCAAGCATTTAGGCTCTCACTAACATTGTTATCTACCATCCAAGTTTGACACCTAGTCGTAAAAATGCTCTTACCTAAGCTGTGGGATTGTATGCAACTGCTGCTTGGGTTGCTTGCTTTCTGAGCCTTCCAAGTTCCTTCATGTTATCATTGAATTATTCTTCGAATGTGCTCCAAGCACATGAGAAGAACATCTTCTTCAACTCGTTGCCTCTTCATTGTTTACTCTAGTTAGCGTATATGTGTCGAGCACATAGCCTATGCTCGGCTTCAGGGAGCACTTCACTCATTGTCGTTAGTAAGCCCTATCAAATGGCATTCATAAGCATGTCAAATGCATATATGCCATAATAAAATAGATTACTAACATGTAAATACAACATTTCATGTATACCTTCTGCATGTCAAACATGATTGTGATATTACCACTATTTTCAAGTTCTAGTGAAGCTCGCAGCCATCCAATAAACCAGGTCTAACTATGTCCATTCTCCTTTTAAGTTAAACCAAAAGCTAAGGGATAAGGGAATCATTTGCATCTATCCCCACGGCTGTTAACAGAATGCCTATGGCTTTACCTTTCAAAAATGTCCCATCCAAGCCTATGAAGGGTCTACAGCCTTGTTTCTGCCCAACCTGGATAAACATACCTTTATACATTACAAATGTGGTGAATAGAAATAAAAGAAAGAACACTACTTAACAAAATTAAATTAAACAAGTGAAACTAACCAGAAATTTGTAGTGCATACCTTGGATGCATTGAAACACACATACATCCTTCTAAACACTCTCCTGCCTTGCTCCAAAGCTTTATTGCTAACCTCAACTCTAACATCTGACCCCAGATTTGATATGCCCAATTCGTGACAGTATGCTTCCAACTTTACAAATTCATCCTTAAAACTGCCATCCATGTCTTGCATTATCATCCTCTTAGCCCTTTTGCATTTGTATATGCTAACATGCACCTTTAACTCATGCTCAACTTCTCTCTTCATGTCATTAATAATGAATTGCGGACTCTCTTGTACCTTCTCCTTAAAGTACTCTGCCAACCACCTTACACTAGCTCTAAGGTTTTTATAGACCCCAACGCATGTATGCTCAGTGCATAATGTCTTATCTTGAACCCAACATTTGGCCCATCCTTAAAGGCATATAGACAGAATGGGCAGGCCACTTGACATTCAGCTTTGAACAACCTCTTCTCACTTCTCACTACCCTCACATTAACTCTCTTTTCAATAGCATACTTATCAATAGCCCTCCTCAATTCTTCTTTGTCCACAAATGTCATCACTAGCATGAAAAAAGGCCTGCCCTTAAGCCCATCAAGCCCAACATCCATATACCTCTCTTGTGGAGGCCCATTATCATTTTCAAGGCCTGATTCTTCTACATCACTATCACAGCCAGCATCATCTTTAACGTCTGCATTTACTTCGAAATCATCCTCCACACTCTCCTCAGTATCTAAGCTCTCACTTTATGCCATGTAACTCTCATCCTCACTATCATCAGCTTCACTATCATTCTCTTCATCATTGTCAAGTCCACTGACTTCCTCAATCTCACAATCACATTCACTTTCCCCTTCTCTCTCATTTTCTTCCTCGCCACTAAATCCCTCCACCTCCTCACGGAGTACTTCTTTTCCTTTGTCCCTATCATCATTAATGTTGTTTGAACTATAAATTCCATCTACTCTTACTTCTCCAATTACATCAAATCCATTTCCTAGCTCCACAATATCATCAAGTCCATCAATATCATCTACGTCATCAATATCTTCTACCTCTATAGTCTCACCTTTCCCTCAGTCATTCAGAAACCCTGCCCTTAGAATACTTTCAGCTATAATGCTGTGTCCCTTATGCAACCTAGCCTTTGTTTTTTCCCAGTTATTTCTTGCCAGCAAATAAATTTCATTTACCTTATTCAATAGCTTTGCATGTCTCTGTTCGAAGGTCTCCTCTTTATTTTGCTTCGTATTTGCCTTTGTAGTTTCGTCTCTGTCACCTTTCCCGTTTGTCGCAATTTCCCTCTAAAATAAACAACTCAAGAAATTACTCATGGGGACCATGTCATTTCACTATTACGACAATAAAACAACTATCTTTACCCCAAATCAATACTTACTGTTCAAGAATCTCGGTCATCCTTTGCGTCGGTCGGAAAGATTCTCTCCTCACGTGAACTGTCGCAGATTCCTCTCCCTCTCTGGACTTCAGTTTCGTTTCACACCCTCGACTCTGTAATGCTTACTTTCCTCCATCGCTAATTGCTCTGTTTCTCACACAGTCACAAACCCTATAACTCTCTTTCTCTGTCACTCTTCACATTCATCTCCCTGCTTCGCCAATGTCTTAATTTCCCATTCTTCAGTTTTTCCCAAATGCTGTTTTTTTTTGTTATTCTCATTTTCCATTTTCCATTTTGCATTTGCCATCTCATATGCCACATCACCATTTCAGTCAAACTGTTTTCTTTTATTTGGTCAACGTTACATACTATGACAGAAGTGGTCATTTTGCTGTCAATTGCCAACTTAATGTACATTCATGCCCCTTACTAAACATTATGGTGCCTGGTGCTCTTTTAGGAAAACTTTATTGTTAAATTTGCTCCTTAACTCATATATATATATATATATATAGAGAGAGAGAGAGAGAGAGAGAAACCTAAGATTACCGTGGAATTGTAGTATGTACATCTAATCCAGTTTAGAATTTGTTTTTTTTTTTGGATAAAAATAGATAGATTATAACTCATCATTATCCTTAACTTTGTGATAATTGGGGTAGATTAGTATGTTAATAGATTTTTTTCGTCAAAT